TAAATCTTTACGGGAGCAGAAAGCCTCATCTTTCTCCCGCGGAACAGCTGGTAGTTTCGAACTGCTCACCTTGTAGTTCGCAGCCCAATTCGTAACCACTACGCGATAGGTATCAAAAATACCTACTGAGTTTATTAAACTATACATCCTTCCTATATGAGACATGGAGATGTATTTGAAAATATATTCACTTTTTGCCTAAGATCTTAAGATCCTTTACTTTTCACTAATGAGCCTACGAAAAGAATTCTGGTGAAAGTGAAATTTAGAAAGTGAGTAGCAAAATTGTCCCAGTTTAGAAACTTGTTTTTATTCAGTTGGTAACAGTAAGACAAACACTGTTTGATTTCCCCTTCAGAAAACATTGGGAGAAATGTAAATTGTATGAAATGTGGGCAATACCTTAAATTACCTCTAGGATTTGAGGGACTATCCGTAAATTGGTAAAACATAAGCAGGAGTCCTGGTATGGCGCTGTGGGTTAATGCGCCAGAATGCAAAGCCATTTAAACTGCAAGCTTGGCAGTTCAAGCTCACCAGCTGCTCCTCAGAAACCCTATACAGGGTCACTATGTGTCAGAACTGACTTAACAACAACTGACAGCACTTAACAACAACAAAGCAACTAGTGGGTTTGAACTGCTTACACTGTGGTTCGCAGTCCAGGGCTGATCTTACAATGCCAGTTCCAGTATATATGTAAAGGACATTTAATTTTAACGAACACCTAACCACAGCCTTTATACCTAAGTCAGCTACAGTAAAAAGTAAGGTGACTAGGTTGTCCTAAATTAACTTCATTTGAATTTATTATTTGCTAACAAAAGTATATTTACGCTACTCATCAGGCAATGCAAATCAAAACTACAATTAGATACCACTTCACAGTCTAGATTATGCTCAGTTATCTTCCTTTAGACTCTAATATTTGGTGGTGGTGGCGGTCATTGTGCCACCGAGTCAGTTCTGACTCATAGCAACCCTGTATATGGTTTCTGAGGCTGTAAATCTTTATGGGAGCAGAAAGCCTCATCTTTCCTGTGGAGCAACTGACTTTGTAGAGTCACACTACTGACTCTGTGATTAGTAGACCAGCTCGTAACCCACTACACTACCAGGGTTCCTTTTCAACATTGTATACAAAAGTGTACCTACACTTAGACATCAAGGAATGCAAATCAAAACCACAATGAGACACCACTTCACAACCACTAGAATAAAAAGACAGCTAATAACAAGAGTTGACAAGAATGTGGAAAAATTGCAACTCTCATGCACTGATGGTGAAAATGAACAATGGTACAGCCACTTTGAAAAACTGCTTCAAAATAGTAAACACAGAGTTACCATGACAAGCACCTAGGTATATACCTAAGAGAAATGAAAACATACATCCCCACAAATACTTGTACACAAGTGTCCAAAACAGCATTATTTTAAATAGTTGAAGACTGTGAGCCACTCAAATGTCTATCAACTGATGAATGGATATGTAATATGTGGTATTATCCACACAACGAAATATTTGGGAATAAAAAGAATGTAATGATCCATGCTGCAACTTGGATGAACTTTGAAAACATTATGCTAAAGCAGCCTGTCAGAAAGGACTACAGATTGTACTATTCTGTGAAATGACAATAGGCAAATATATAGACAGAAACTAAATTAGTGATGGCCTAGAACTGACGAGAGGCTAATAAGCTAAGCAGCATAAGGTTTCTTCTTGGGTGATTAAAAATTGATTGCAGAGGTGGCTGTACAACTCTTTGATTATACTACGTCACTGAACTGCATACTTTAAATGGGTCAATTGTATGGTATATGAATTGTATCTCAAAAAAGCTGGAGGTTTTTTGTTTGCTTTTTAAAGTTTGAGGGGCTTCAAAAAGTTCATAGAAAATAGTACAGAATGATAATTTTTTAAAATGTCCAAGAACTTTTTTTTGAAGCTCCTTCATATAGTTGGTCCCCAAGGGTTCACTTAAAGCATAAATACAAGCATTCAAAAACATCAGCCTCAATACTATAAGCAGAGCTCCAAGAAGTCTATTTTATATAGTTGGTCTTCACATGGTTGCTGTGGGTGATAATTCTAAACTATGAGCTATATATTACATATACACATTTTATATTTTACATAAACATGTATTAAAACAAATAACATCTGACCTGTTTAGTTCTCTTAGCCATGAGAGCTGGACTGTTTGTAATGCTATTCCCAGTAGGGTGTCTACTAAAACAAAGTTTCAACTCCTGTGGTCTGTCAAAAAGCTTAAGATCCAGTCTTGGAAAGTATTTGTAACTAAAATAAAAAGCAAAAATAGAACTGCTGATTCAAAGTACATTATTAACTCTCCATATTGTTCCAGTAGTTTCTTAAGTATGTCTGTGCCTTAATTGGTACCTCTATTCCCCAGTACTCATAGCATTGTTTTTTCCTTACATATATGTAAGTTAATACAGTTACAAGACACATAAACTACTATGTAGAAAACTTTGGCTCCTCTCCATCGCGTTTCTTTCAACCAACCCACCAAATCAGAAAACCCTGATATCGTACTTGACAGAGAACGTAACCCTTTTAACAGCACTCATGTATTAAATATCAATTTGTATTTTTAAATTAGTAGCTAGTGTGCTAATTTTAAGCATTTCTCCATAAATTTACCTTGAATTGGCATTTAAAAGAAAAGAAAATATTCAGAATATTTTATTTTAGAGATATAACCACAATTTAACCAATTCTTTAGTGTTAGGTATCTTTTTGGTCATTTCTAAAACATTTTTATAGTAAAATATCTTTTACATATATGTTTGTAAATCCCTTTGCTTAATTTATTAGAAAGAGTACCTACTAACAAGAGTTTGCCAGAGTCAATGTTTTTCAAGATTATTAACATTATTATCATCACTGCCAAATTATTTACAGGAAAGTTATACTTATATACACTCCAACTAGTAACATAACATATCCTCAATCTGATAGCCTAAGTTTAAAATGTTTCACATTCATTTTGGTTTTCATTTCTTTAAATACTGGAAAAGTGGTGTATTTTTTCATATTATTGGCAATTTGAGTTTCTTCTTAAAAATGGACTAATTATTTATTTACTTTGGCCAATTTTATTCTGGGAGATGTTGCCTTTCCCTGTTTGATTTTACATCTCATGTGTGAATATATTAATTCAAATTTATGGTAAGCAAGGAAAAACAAAAATAAATTCTGCAGTCAACTGAAATCAAAATAGTACCTAAGCTACTGACTTCAGCCAAAACTAATTAAGCCCTAAATCCCTGTTCTGGCAAGATTATATATTACATATTTTTGGATGGCACTTATTTTACATTCCCTTTGACAATAAGTTCTACGTTTTAACAACATAGTCTAAGAAAATAACTGGGTATGTACACAAAGATATTAACAGCAGAGGAATACAAACAAATAACACAAGATTAAATAAATCACAGTAAATTCATGCAATGTGTCACTTAGAATGATATGGCACAAAAATATTAAATGACACTGAAAAATGTTCAGACCATTAAGAAAAACACATCTTACATACAATGTACAACATGAAGTCATATTTGCTTCAAGTATGGTGGTGGTTTGCATGGAGTCAGTTCCGACTTATAGCCACCCTGTATAGGGTTTCTGAGGCTGTAAATCTTTATGGGAGCAGAAAGCCTCATCTTCTCCTGTGGAGCACCTGGTAGATTCTAACTTCTGACCCCCCAGTTAGCAGCCCAACATGTAACCCACTATGCTACAAGAGCAACTTGCTTTAAGTATAGTAAACATATTAATGCATTAAAAAAACAGTAAAGATTTATATTCAACTGTTAACAGAAATTATGTGTTACTGCTAAAATGACATACTTTAGTTTTCTTTTGTGTTTGATTTTCTAAATGAACTAAACTACATTATCATCCATCATAATAAACAATAGTCATATTCATTTTAATTTATCAAAAGACTCCCATCCAAATCCCTTTAAACCCTATTCTTTTCATTTGTCTTATTTTAATAAAGACTGATTTCTGGCCGTCTACTTTAATATGTTTTCTCTAATATTTTACGAGTTCATAAGAATTTCATAATCTTTAATATTAGCCAAGAACAATATTAACATCAAAATCATCAAGAAGAAGTAAATTTTTTTCCCTTCAGACTTGAAGTTTAAACATTAAAATATGGTTAAATAAGTGTTTAGGTGAATTAATAAACAGTATCTGGTTTCCCTTCCAACAAGACTATCCAATTCTAATTATACCATGAAATAGTCTTCTGCATTTGTTCATAGAATAAATGTTGAAAATGTCTTTCTCAATTTTTAACGTATTTACTAAGAGTCAGAAAACAAACAAAATAAACTATCAAAGGTGTGTCTAAACATCAGTTAAAAAGAGATTCCCTCTACCTGTACTTTGGGGAGAGGTCCATCCCATCATCTGGTGGTGGCTCTGGTGGCATTATGAATACCGTGTGCTCACTTTTCTGTGAATCGTCTATCTCTATCAATTTGGTGTCTTCTGATAGATCAAAATCAACCTAAAAATAATGATTTTCTCCAGTTAATTGCATAAGTAATAGTCAATTCTGAAATTTTAACAATTAAGTCTAAGAAAAAAATACCTTATCTGTTTTCTCTGTGCCTTTATCAGGAAACAACTACAAAAGAGAAGAGATTCTTAATAAAAAGATACACTGTGAACTTCATAGAAATGTTTACTCTTAAAATTCTGATTAAAAACAAACATATTATCTTTCTTTAATACTTGGCATATATAAAGCCCTTCACAATATATGTTTGGGCCCTATGCCAATAAACTAAAGAACAGTATTTCTAATGTCTGGGCTAATGTGCTGGACTCCCTGTCAATGGTTCAACCCCACCAGCTGTGCCTTGGAAACCCTATACAGGGTAGTTATGGGTTGGTACCAACTCAATGGCATTTAACAACAACATAGGACAGAAAATAATTTTTAATTTTTTGTGAAACTATCTTTATAAACAAAAGGCAGTCAAAAGGCGAATGAAAACTCCTGCTTTAGTGACTGACATTTTCTAAGCTTTGCATCTAATTGGAAGATAGTTACAATATCAGTTTCATCAATAAATTAAAACGCTGCCATTTTTAAGACAGCCCTGGAGTTCTAGATCACATTGAAAGTACTGCAGAGAAAATTATTTGAATCTTCTAAGGTATACAAACCATTTCTGCTGTTGTTGCTAAGTGTTGCTAAGTCAGTTGCGACTCAGTTACCCTGTGTAGGGTTTCCAAGGAGTGGCTGGTAGGTTTGAAACACCAGCCTTGTGGTTGTTGTTGTTATGTGCCGTGGAGTTGGTTCCGACTCATAGCGACCCTGTACAGGGTTTCCGAGGCTGTAAATCTTTATGGGAGCAGTAAGCCTCACCTTTCTCCCACGGAACAGCTGGTAGTTTCGAACTGCTGACCGTGCGGTTCACAGTCCAATTCGTAACTACTACGCTACCAGAGGTCCTTAGCCTTGTGGTTAGCAATCCAGTATTACCCTACAGCACCAGACTAGGACTCCTACACATAATTAAGAGCCCATAAAAGTCAAAATATCATATTTTTTTCTTTGAATATTAACTCAAATTTTATATACTGTTTACTTTAATAATCAAGCGCAATATCCACTTTGAAAAAATTAAGAATCCTATTAAACAGGAGAAATGAGTCATTACTGTCAAGAATCAACTTCGAAGCTTCTTTAGGATGGATGAGTAAACCTTCAAAATTTAGCATATTTTTTCAGCTATTTTCCAACAAAACAGCAACAAAAAACATACTGGCAAATTTTACCAGACCTTCCATTATTCATGAAACTATTTTTAAGAACCACTAGGCCTTAGCCATTGAAATGAAAAATATGATAATGAGCTTGGAAGGTTCAACAAAATGTTACTAGTAATTAATGGTGATGTTCAAAGAAGAAAATTAGACATGTATGATAGAAACTTGATACCCAAAAGAAAAGGGATTCATACAGTAAACCCAGAAACACACACACACACACACACACACCTACACTGTCTTTCTCACATTAAGATATACCTTGGGCTAATGATAGCACAGCAACCCAAATCGTTATGATTTTTCCTTAACATAAGTGTATAGAATAAACTTTACCTTTTCTATGCAGTCATCAAAAAATGCCAATCCAGTATCTTTATCACTTACAAAACTGCACTCTTCAATGAAACGAATAAAAATCTGTGTTTTACATAATAGGGTATAGAATTTTGTATAGGCACGATCTCGACTTTTTAAAAATCCTGGAAAAAACAAAATCACAATTAAATTCACATTTTAGTGGAACTAGACGTTATATTATTTTAAATCTATATGTGTGAGACGTACTAAATGGTGTTCTAAGGAGTGAAAACCAACAACAAAAGACAACAACCTGAGACTAACATACATGACACCACCCCCCAGAACTCAATCCAGATTATGTTGCTGTTTTTGTGAAGTGCCACTGAATAGGCTCCAACTCATCTAGACCCTGTATGGGGTTTTCGGAAATTGATTGGTAGGTTTGAGCTGCTGCCCTTGGAGTTAACAGTCCAGTGCATGTCCTACAGCATCATACAAGGTCTCTAAGACACAGAAGTAGTTAAAGTAAAACAGACCAAAAAAAGTGAAAATGGGGGACAAGAAATATCAATTTATAATGAAGTCAACTACAAGCATTAAGATAGAAAAGCGTAGATTCAGAACTTGCAAATGACAAGGAAGTCAAGTAGAATCAAGATTAAAAGGGATGATTTTAAAAGGAAAAAAAGTTAATAAATTACTGGTAACCTAAAAGACAATTAATAAACCTTCTCATCAAAGTTTAAAAAAAAGAGGAAAATCATAAAGATTTAGTAAAAAGTAACACAACAGATGATGGAAAAGCTCCATATCATCAGTGAAAACAAGGCCAGGGGCAGACTGTGGAACAGACCATCAATTACTCATATGCAAATTCAAACTGAAGCTGAAGAAAATAAAAACAGGTCCACGAGAGCCAAAATATGACCTTGAATATATCCCATCTGAATTTAGAGATCATCGGAAGGACAGATTTGATGCATTAAACATTAAAGACAGAAGACCAGAAGAGTTGTGGGATGACATCCAGAACATCATACAGCAAGAAAGCAAAAAGTCATTAAGAACACAAGAAAGAAGGAAAAGGTCAAAATGGATGTCAGAAGAGGCACTGAAACTTGCTCTCCAGTGTAGATACACTAAAGCAAATGGAAGAAAAGAGGAGGTCCAAGAGCTGAATAGAAAATTTCAAAGATCAGCTGGAGAAGATAAAGCCAAATATTATAACAAAATGTGCACAGATCTGGAATCAGAAAACCAAAAAGGAAGAACACTCTCAGCATTTCTCAAGCTGGGGGAACTGAAGAAAATATTCAAGCTTCAACTTTGGTTATTGAAAGATGCTCTGGGCTAATTATTGAATGATGCAGAAACATCAAGAGAAGATGGAGAGAAACAAACAAGATGGTGGATCAGGTGGAAGTGCAGTGAGGAGCTCCATCAGGAACAACACAGAATACACGACCAAGCAGGCTGAGGGGATGGTCCCAGAACTCTGAACCACATATAAAGGAATATTTAGAAGGTTGGAAGGCGTACAGCTAGTGGAATTTGTGGCAGAAGCAAGAAATCCATTGCTTTCTAACTCGAGACGCTCAGCTGCTCGAGGAGCTGCCATCTTGGGTGAGACCAAGCGGGGGAAGGATT